TTTGGTAAATTATTCTTCAGGTAATTTAAATTCCATGTATTCAAGAGTGCTCAAATTCAGATGTGTATTCTGCTCAAATTACTTCCATTGAACATTCTGCATAATAACTTGCAAGCTTGTGACTATAAAGAATACATTTTTTTAGCAGTTTTAAATTATGGCCTGTTTTTTACGTCTTTGCAATCCTGTTTGAAACTGAAAAATGAGAGGTGTGCCATGTGCTACAGATTTTTAGACTCAAAATCTGGCCTGAATTCATCCTTGGGCTACAAAAACTTTGCACAAACATCCATAAAGGTTTGCTCAGTCCCTGTAGTTGGGTAAAAGGGTGACCGTTACTCACAGCTGTCTACTTCTCAGTCCTACCACATTACAGGTCTGTAACGAATCTAATAATTGCCTATTTGTATTATTTGATGTAATGGCTCTGTAAATCAGGAAAGGATTGAAGGGAACATTGCTTACAGATTCCAAGATATCACTTTCTTCAATGGGTCTATGGAACTAATGGCCGTCCCTAAAAAAGTAAAAAGAAGCTTCATCCTAACAACTTCCTTATGGATCCTTCCCTTAATAATCCCCTGCCAATTTTTTCAGCGTGTACGTTGGGCTATTTATATTCAATTTTGGGAGATGGGATGAGACACCATCTCAGGGATTCCTCCTAGGTATAATCTTATGAGTTCTTTGGCTTGTTCTTCTCTTTGTTGTTTCTTTCTTTTACTGAACGAAGGGTCATTTTTGACCTAGGTTTGAACCTGCAACAGTTTGGTAAATTATTCTTCAGGTAATTTAAATTCCATGTATTCAAGAGTGCTCAAATCCAGATGTGTATTCTGCTCAAATTACTTCCTTTGAACATTCTGCATAATAACTTGCAAGCTTGTGACTATAAAGAATACATTTTTTTAGCAGTTTTAAATTATGGCCTGTTTTTTACGTCTTTGCAATCCTGTTTGAAACTGAAAAATGAGAGGTGTGCCATGTGCTACAGATTTTGACTCAAAAGCTGGCCAGAATTCATCCTTGGGCTACAAAAACTTTGCACAAACATCCATAAAGGTTTGCTCAGTCCCTGTAGTTCGGTAAAAGGGTGACCGTTACTCATAGGTGTCTACTTCTCAGTCCTACCACATTACAGGTCTGTAACGAATCTAATAATTGCCATTTTATATTATTTGATGTAATGGCTCTGAAAATCAGGAAAGGATTGAAGGGAACATTGCTTACAGATTCCAAGATACACTTTCTTCAATGGGTCTATGGAACTAATGGCCGTCCCAAAAAAGTAAAAAGAAGCTTCATCCTCTAACAACTTCCTTAACATGACAATTAATTTTGAACACGCTAAAAGTACACTTACATAACCTTTTCAAATTGCTAAAGCAGGATACTCGTCACCAGACTTACTCCAAAGCTATTGCCAATGAATCGCAGGTTATTCGTCACAAGAGGGGGGATACGAAATGGACCAAAGGCATTGAAACCTCAACCTCTGATAAGTACTTTCAATATCTCATTGCACCCAAACATGAATGCCCACTTCCATAAAAAAGAACGACAATCCCAGTAAAACCCTACGAAAGTAGGGTTTGGATGGGTGATATGTATCCAAAACTCACCCCTACTTGGAAGTATGCCTATAAACTCTCAAACACATTATGTAATTTAGTAGGGTTTGTGGCAGAGTGAAATTACCACACTTGTTCTGTTGTGGCGGGATTTGGCAAGACGCAGCGCAGTAGAGGGAGAGGATGATGAAATGAGGGAGTAAATGTGCACTTTTCATTGCTGAACCAGCACTTTGAGTGAACCATTAGGCATTAGCAAATAGTTCAAAGTCTGATTTTTTTAAAAATATTAATACACTTTTTCTTTGAAGATTTGTCAATGGTGTTGTGTTCAAATGGTTTGTTTAGTTGAAAAATCTTCAAAGTATTAGCTTTGTTTGACTTGTCATAATGTAAAACAGGTTACATATTTGCAAGATCATCATATTCACTTGAATAAGACGTAAGGTAAGGAATATTAACACCACAACCTCTTCTTATAATTGGGTCTCGGACTCTGGGTTGGCCCAACAACTTATGACTTCATTTTTTAAAAATTTCAGGTTCCTTCGGGCTCATACTACTTCTTGTTCGGGTCAATGCTGGTTTAAGTAGAGAACTATATGTTCATCACCATTATCATTCGGTTTGGGTTGACCCAATGGGTTATGACTTTGATTTTAAACAAATTTTAAGTTCAAAAAAATTAAGTAAAATTACTATATCGATTATATTATTTTATTTTAAATTATGAAATGATTTTACCTCTTAGATCTATATAATTTGAAGCTCCAAACAATTGAAATACAATCTAAGACGAATATTTAGGCTCGAGCTTCTCGATGCTGTTATATAACCACTACCTTCATCGCTCACATCCGCCATATTAAACTTTGAACTAAACAAATCAATCACCCAAGACCAAAAACATTATATATACATATAATGTATATGTAGAATAAAACATTTTATTGTGGAACAGTCTCACTAGGATCAATTAGACCTTTTTGATGATCTTAGCCAAAAGGTCAAGAAACGTAGTAGAAAATTTATTTTTTAGTAGATGAGTTCCACCACTTTAAAATTTAAACACAACACAATATTTGACAATATTTACCTTGGTAAGAGATTTTCCTATTTTTTAACCTCTTTCATGTCCTATTTGATGAGAGGGTTCATGCCGAGTCTTCTTTATTGGCTGGAGCTTGGCGGTACTTTCAACAAAATGGAAATTTCAACGCATCCACCAATCAACAAAATGGAAATTTTACCATGTACCGGTATTGGTTTTCCTCTTTTTGTCAAATATCTCCCAAAAAAGAATTGTCTTAATATGAACTGCTGCACTCTAATCAAAACCACACTATTACAAATAGGTGCTTAATATTTAGGTCACACTCTAGGTCGTGTTTTGAGTTAAGGCAATTGCGTTTTACTGTCT